AGTGTATTTTTAGTCATTTTTGAGAAACTTTTATTTTCGGAGATTTGTTCAGGATCTTATTGGTATAGTAATTTACTGTGATCAAAGGTTGGGTTACCAAAAAAGTATATTTTTTTCTGAATTTTAACAACAAAAATGGGTATAGCTAAGTATTTTAAGGCAAATTAGTGTATTTTTAGTCATTTTTGAGAAACTTTTATTTTCGGAGGTTTGTACAGGATCTTATTGGTATAGTAATTTACTGTGATCAAAGGTTGGGTTACCAAAAAAGTATATTTTTTCTGGATTTTAACAACAAAAATGTACTGTAGTGTGCGTGTTAACTTACCTGCGAATTTTGCTTAGTGTGAGTTTTATATGAGGAAATTTCTCTTTGAACGTCTCATTCATGTCTTTCTTCAGGTCTGACGGTTTGACGTATTCTATAACTGTGGTCTGGTGTAAAAAAAGAAGGGAGGGAAAATAGTCTGGTGAGGTAAGGAAGACAAAGCAGAAAAGAAAGGAGTGGAGTATGACCAGAACACAAACAGGAAAGAGGAGACAATACTGACAGAGGTTGAACAGAAGAACATTCAAACATTTCGCATTGTTTGATGAAAATTAACTTAGTGAGAAGATTAAGCATATATAAACTGTATATTTATATATATACACATACATATGCAGAAATATAATGTAGAAATAAAAATATACATATATAGATTTTATAAATATCCATTAAATATGTTTCTTGTGTCTGAAACACAACCAAGTCAGCAGGATGTCTGACAGAACCACAACCTGCTAAAGTGTTAAAGACATGACTTTATCTAATCCTAGAGAACCGTCTGTAGCTGGAACTGCACGGAACAAACTGATGTCAACCCTTGTTTAACGTCAGACCTCTTGTGGAGAAAACACTAAGAAATTCACCGACAATATTAGTTTGTGCTGTATCTTTGTTTTAAACAATAAACACACTGATACACACACACACACACACACAGTCAGTGACATAGCAGCCGACCTTAGATGTAATCTTCTTTGATGGATTACACTGTAATGACACAGTGTGTCTCTGCGATTTTAATTCATCTCAGTGAAGGGATGAAGCTGGGCTGCTGTCGACAGGCTAATAAAGTAGCTGTGTGTGTGTGTGTGTGTCCGTGTGTGAGTAAACTGATTACTTTCAGAAACATCTATCGTATAATCCTCTCTGACGTACATCGTCATCAAAGACCATGTTTAAATACATATTTGTTGTACTATTTAACACGTTCCGATCATCAATGTGTGGTGTATCGAACATTAAAACATTTTTTCTCACCATATATGAGGCAAAGATCAGAACCCTCTTGTGTTTTCCACATGGCCACTGATGGTCACTGAGGAGGTTGGCGTCGTAGTCTGTCACATCATCCAGGCCTGAACAACACACACAATCAGGGGAGTTTTCAGATAACAAACAACATTTATCCAGGAAGTCAAGGTTGAGCCTACCAGAGTAACTGCAGGCTGCAGTGAGAAGAAACAGCTGCACTAAAGCGTCATCCTCGTTACATCTCCAACATGTGTGCTTACGTTTGTAAACACAATGGGCGTCACGTCCGTTATCTATAAACACACCGAGTGACGGAACCTTCTATTGAGGGATTTGAACTGGAACCTTTCATTAACACAAGACAGCTGTGTGCGTCACTGTCTCAGTTCCTGTGTCAGACATTCATTACTGTGCACGCCAGGGGAGGATATTTTGAATTTGACTGTGATTTCGTTTTGTAACTTGAAGATATTGAACAGTATTGTGCATTTTCAGTAGTAGACTGGAGTACAGAAACTTCAGAAAGTTGAAGCTTTATGCTAAAGCACGGGTCCCTAACCCCTGGTTCGCAGACCAGTACCAGTTCGTGGGTCATTTTGAATCGAGTCGCATGGTAAGAATTCATACCTTTCATTCATTTTATAATTTTAATTTAATTATAGAGATACCGTTATTTCCATTTATAAGTCTTTCAGACTACAGCACTAACAGAATAAAGTCTAAAGATCTTTTATTTTGAAAATCTACTGTTCTTCAACAGTACCTCCCAGCACTAACAGAATAAAAATCTACTGTTCTTCAACAGTACCTCAGTGATTGTTGCGGTGGTACCGGTCCACGATACTCACTAGTTCTGGCCAACTAATCTTTGGTACAAAATCCTTGGTATGACAGCTTTTCTTTAACTTAATAAGAAACACATTTATATAAACAATAGAACTGTAGTATTACACTTGGATTATTGGCAGAGGCATCCAGCTGGTATTTATAGCACCCCCTGCCTGCAGAAACGTCAGCTACACACCCAAAATACCATACAGTAAAAGTTTGTGCGTTACCTAGGTCCAAGCCCACGGTGCTATTCAACCGACTGGGTGGACAATTCCTGCCTGTCATGCTGCGTGTGCTCCTGGACACAGGGATCTGCAGGTTCAGGTCGCTGGTCGATGAGGGCTTCTGTCTCACCAGAGCATTAGTAGGATACAGAAACTGGGCGTACGACACTGACTGAAACAGAAAGTGAAAACGACTGGAGTAAGGCAGATGAATGAAGAAGTCAACAAACTGAAAGGACAAAGTGTGAGTGTCTAAGTGACGTCTGTGTTTGATTTATCTACCCTGCCGTAAGTATCCAGGTGGAAGCCCTCCAGCCCTGGCAGCATCTCCAGGGTGGAGATGTTTCCGGATGAGTGTCTCCTCCTCGGGTGGTTTAATGTGGGGTCACTGGAGTGAGGGACATTGGTGGTTATTATGACCACAGAGCACAGTAATTATCAGCATGTCCTTAAAAAGTGGTTTGTCCCCCTCCCACCATAATAATAATTATTTCTCCCCGCTGAAGAATCTTTTTTTTCCCCCTAAAAACCTACCCAAACACTCTGTCTAAAGAACATAAGACTGAAGTTTTTCTTTTTTTTCATGTGAAGGCAGTTCAAGTCATAAAGACACCTGAGAACCAGCGGCTTCATCAGAATCAACTATAATTAGGTCAAATATACTGCATTTAAACAAATTATATATGTATATAAATATATACATAATATATATATAAATATATACATATATACACGTAAGTATAAAAATGTGTACGTAGGGACATGAATAAATAATTTGCAAAATCCTAAATGAGGAAGTGGCTACCAGTGACCTCACTGGTTTTAGCATTTCAATGATAACGTGAGATCAGTGAGAGGTTATTAACCATGGGCTGCTAACAACTACAGCAGTCTTTGTACATAAGTACGTGTGTGTGTGTGTGTGTGTGTGATAATTACCTGAGGTAGAAGCTCTCTCCATATGGAAGGACAGAGAAGGCAGCACACAGAGACCTCTTTGCACAGATAAGCACAATCCTGAAACATAAACACACACATCTCAGTGATTGTGATGATGTGACATTTGTCCACCTGTAACGCCTTACACAAAGCAGACTTGACACAACATTAACAGGATGGTAGATAGCAGCAGCAGCAGCAGCAGCAGCAGCAGCAGCAGCAGCAGCAGAAGCAGCAGCAGGCGGGGGGGCAGCAGGGGGGGAGTTCTCTATATTGGAGTCTATTTATTGGAGTGGAAAAACCTAATCTAAGTTTAAATCACCCCTTTCTTTTTCAACATAATAAAAGATTTGAAATTTAAAATGACCATTCTTCTGTTGAGCTTAATCGTGACAACTATAATCATCATCATTTATTTTTTGTTACACAACATTAAGCATCACGTCGACCTCCAAGAGTTGTTTATTTTAAAAATCACTTAGTTGACCTGACTGTAAAATATGACTCGCCCTACAGGGGTCATTTATTTCACCAGAATTAGAGCTTTAATGTGGTAGTGTTTTTAATTCTGAACACAGCCTGCAGTGGATGTACACTCTGGGACATTGATCAGGACACAGAAAACTAAATTTTTCTGTGATTGTACAGTGTGTATAGTTTGCAGTTATTTAAAATTGTTGTCAGAGTTTGTTCATAGAAAATCTTACACCAAAGACAGACCTGAGGCATTGACCTTCACCGTGAAGCTAACATTGCTACAGTATCTTCACTCCAGCACCGTCAGGACATGGACTGTGACTTTGGTAAAACGCAACCAATGTTGTTCTAATACGTTCTGTTCTTCTGTTCTATTCTTTTCACATTCCTACATATGAGGTTTATTAGTCACATCACCAGGTCAGAGTGACACTGCTGTACTGATCAGATAATCTTTCTCCCGGGGGGGGGGGCGATTGTTTTAAAATAGAAGCAGTTAAGAGCAGCAAAGCCCCTCTACCCTTCAGCGAAGGCTCCATGATTTCAGAGTGTATTTATTAATGAATCAAAAAAGTAATAAACTCAAAAACTTACATTTTATCTATTAGAACATATATAGCTTGACCGTTTTATTGTCAATCCCACCACACGCGTAACAATGAATCAGTAAACTCGAAAATCATTACATTTGTCACTCATCATCTGCCTTAACAGTTAATTTTCGCTTAATTAGAATTTGTAAAAAAAAAAACTTTTCTTTTTCTTGTCCTTGTTTTCCCTTGTTTTCTTGAGGCTCAGTAGTGATTTTTTTGTTTTGTTTTTGTTTTACGGGCTTAGAGGTTGGGTGGGACATTTGTGTGTTTTCAGTAGAAGATAATTATGGAATAATCTGCCCCCAGTGTTATGAAACTTGTTGTGATAAATGGCGGAGTGAAGACGATAGAATTCCCATGAGAGTCACTTTTCCAGCCGATCTGTTGTGAAGCCTCCACTGATTTTCCACTGAGCTCTCTGGTGACTTCCTGCTCTTGACTTTCCCATGCATCTTGCTGAACTAAGCTGCGTGTGAGTATGTGTGTGTGCAAGTGTGTGTCAGCTGATGAATGGGAAAAGACAAGTGTGCTGTAGAGAACCGTCACTGTCACTGCACAAACATAACTGTACCAAATGTATTAATAATTGAAATACCAAACTCTGAAGTGTGAAAATGTGTAAAGATGATGTCGTCATTTTTAGGCAATTTAGTGCCAACTTTGCATATTGTGCTAAATTTTGGTTAATGTTGTCTCTTTAATGTAATCTGGATTAAGTGGGTGTTATTTTTTAGGTCAATTTCTTTAAGTTGAACCAAAAGAGGTTGATGCTGTAGGGGAATTAATCATTTTCACATCTACATTTATTAATTATTTTCCATAATTTCTGTTTTGTTCAAAGAAGTAACGCCTGAAAACATTTCCCTCTGATACACAAACCAGGCGAGCAGCACTGCTCTATGGAGGTTAATACCTCTGAGAGGCCACGAGACATAAACACAGGAATAAAAACACACTGTTCTCTGTCCTTAATCATCATTAAAACACACTGTATCATCAGGCGCTGTGTTTGTACAGCATGTGCCACCACAGCACTGTAACAGGCTGGAGACCTGACCTACTGTACAGTTTATCTAATACTGTTAAAACACACACAAAAAGTAAATATTTTCATTTCAGACACAATCAACACTGGTATGTTGCATGAACTCCCTTATCTAGGAATCTAACGCCACAAAAAGCAACAAAATCACAACGATTTTATCTCTTTGTTCCAGTGACTGGTCCCCTGTAGTATGTGAAAGAAATGTATGTTTTAGATCCAGCTTGTCTACAGGCCTCTGGAGGTTAATCAATGCTGATTTAAGCATTAGAGTTCCATCAGTTCAACTGTGCATCAGCTCAGGGTTCTTCAGGTTCTAAACATCCCATTGTCTCTGTGTTTGCTTGTCTGTCAGGCTGTGTGCAGCTATATTGTTTAGGACATTTCTTCCCAAAAATATTATCCTTGTGGGAACACGATGTCCTTGTAGGAACATGAGTCAACAGATATTTTGAGGTTCAAGAGTTAGTGTGACGTAGTACGTGTAAGGATCAGGATTAGATCACCCTTATCTTGAATTCTAAAGTAGGGGTAAAGAGGTTGGGCTGTGGTTCACTAACATTTTCTGCATATTGAAATTGAAACAAATTTGCCTTGTTGTAGTACTGCATCTGCTAAAAACTGGAAAAAAAAAGTGTTTGTGAGAGAGAGTGTGTGTCTTACCTGCTGCCTCTTGTGTCGTACTGTTTCATATTTTTTATGAAGTGAGTCTTCTTGTTGTGTCGAGGTCTGGGAGAACCACCAGAGAGATTACGGGTCCTGGAAGATGGACAGAGAAAGACAGAGACTTTAAAAAAATGAACATAAAACAATGTTACACTAGAATGTATCTCTGTGACAGACTAAGTAAAAAAAAATCCACTTGTTCTTAGCCAATAAACCCTTCTGTTGAGAGATTGTACAAAAGCCTTACCAACACCTGTGTGTTAGCAAATAATGGTTCAACTACTTGGTCACATATTTAAACTCCAACCAGATTTAAAGAAAAAAATGAGGCAAATAAGGATTTTCATAATTAACCCATACTCCGTCTATAGCCATTAAGAATGTATACAACAAAGGGATGGTGGTTTATATGTTTGTCCGGTTGTGTCAATAATTTCAAAATAATAGGCATTTTTTTAATTTATTGTAATTGTTCAGTAAGCACGGGTGTGGCTAATACAGTAACAGATTATACGCTGGTCATAAAACAAAACTACATATAAGTCACCAATGTCCTGTAGGCCAGTTGTCACAAGAACAATGAGCTGCTTAAATACTCGCCTCACTGCTACTATTTTTTTTCTGGACTATAACAAAATCCTGTTTTGTTTTTTTTTGTTTTTTTTTATTTTGCCGTCTTCCTGTCCATCTTTTGGTATCTGCCAAAGGTCAGGCTCTGAGCCAGATTGAGTTGAACCTTGTGGATTAAACAGCAGATCCATTTGAAAATAGGACGGGGAGCTCAGGCTGACTCACAGTACAGAGGTTACATAACATTTCTGACATCAGCATGCCTTTAGCATGAACAGGGAACACACGAACTGGAAGTGCAGGTTCGTGCATGTTAAATCCACAGATGCATTTATACTAAGAAAAACACATGGAATCTCACGACTACATAAAAACTGCTTCGTCGACACTTTACACACAACGATACAGTTTAACACTTGACGAAGGAGAAAAAAAAAAAGATTGTTTGGGTTTAAATGTCTATTGTTATTTAGATTATTAATGATAGGAAAATCTACCAAATCCTAGACTCTCATCTGATGGACTGTGTTTTCCAACTCGTTTGTCAGTTTACAAACAATACCTCTCAGAATGTTGAAAAAATGTCACAAAGTCATTAAGACTGTTATGAAGAAATGTGCAAAAGGCAGCGTCTGTGATTTGCTGTGGTCTTTCATAAAAATACTGCAATGGTTATAATGGAATTTAAATATTGGAGGCCAGGCCTCATTCTGCACAAATTACATAAGGAAAGCTTTGTGGAGAGTGAAATGGTTTATTGATGTAATTCCACACGGACTCGTGATGAGGAGCTGAGCCACAGCCTGCTTCAGTACATTTCAGGGTTGTCCTGGTACCATTTTTACAAAATTAGTATTTTTTATAAGTGTACTTGTCCATAAAGAGTATGGATACTTCTTCAAGTTGTAGACAGTGAGCAGAGCTTTTACACCAAACAGTACATGTCAGTTAAAACACTGTCTGCTTAAACTGTGTTGAACTGTTCCCATGTTGCAGGAAACAAAGTAACACACAAAGTTGTCAACTTTCAGTGAAGTAGCTGTCCTGAAATCAATACTGTTATCTGTGTATGGTATCATATATCATACAACATACTGGTATCAGTACACACCTACAGCACTCAGCTGATAATAGCTGTCACTGACACACTGTCATACGTACATTAGCCAACGAGGCTACCTGACGTACCACATGTGAAAGTCTACATTATGAACCTGTTTCTACCCATCAGTGTAGATTGCAGAGGTAACAGTTTTAGATAAAAAGAACAATTTAGTACTATTTAATTTCAATCATAAAACAGGGATGGATAACATGAAGACGTGAAATGCACAAACCGTTATACAGCAGTAAATACACACACACACACAGCACAGCACATCTGTTCCTGTACTGACCAGATGAATTCACGCCACAGGCTGTTTAAGCTGTTTATCCCTCATTATCTTCAGTTCTTACAACAACTCTGTTAAACAAATGTCTGAAATGTGTTCATGTTTTTGTCATAACTCAAATTAAACAGAATTATTTTCATTCCCTATTTTAAAGAGGACAAAAAGAGGACAAAGTTCACTTTAAACCTTGACGTCCTTCAGATCCGTAACATAAGTGAATGGCACACAAATATCTCAACCTTTGTCATGGTCATTGACTGACACTCCAGTTCAGATTTGAATCAGACAGTAAACTCTTGGAAGACTAAAATTAGACTCCAAGTAAAAATAACCAGAACAGCAGCTCCTACAATGAGTCTATTTCTGTTGATTCTATTTTGGTATTGGCTAAATTCTAGGTCACATGACGGAATCTTCTCAGCGTTCAATATTCATGGGAACAGCCATTACCAAACATTCTGGAATGCTCGGGAATGTTTGTGGTGTGGGAAATTAGGAGTCAAGCTGTGAGTGTTGATGATGATGATGGATGAGGAATGATAGTATCAGAGCAGCGACTGTTGATGCTGATGATGGATGAGGAATGATAGTATCAGTGATTACTACGCAAAAAATGTATCTATTATCAACGTGATATACTACTTCACTCAAATAAATATTTGACATCTTTAAGTACTATAGTGATGTCTTTTAATTGCTTCATTTTCAACTAGTAGAGTCTGACCACAGAGCAAAAGGACATGACAACATCTGGATCGCCTGTTTGACTGAAGCGATTAGAGTCAGAATGGATGTGACGGGTCCACAGCTGTATCACTGAGTATCACACACCAAGTACCAAAAACTTATGGATACGTTTAAAATTTCAACAACTGAAATTGAAAAAATTGAAAGAATTGTGACTCCGTGTTCCATGTGTATTCTCAGGGTGTGGAGAGTGACGTTCAGCTGTTTACTGCAGAGGAGTACATGTTTGGACAAGCACAACAACACATGCACACACCAATTTACACACATGATGTCAGCCGGATTCCAACTCCTTTCTGACTTTTATTTTGTGAGTTCAAAGTCAGTGTCTCTAATTGTGTGTGTGTGTGTGTGTACACTAGCCCAGAGGGTGTGTCTAACTTTGTACTTGTCTGATTAGTTTTCTGTTTCAGGCAACGACTCCGGTGACAAAGTATTGAAGTTCTTAAGCAAAGATGAAAAATTGTGTGTAAAATTGTAAACGAGTTGTGTTCAGGAGTGTAAACGAAGACTCAGCGCCAACTATAAATAAACTATGAATCTGAAACTGATCAACAAGGAAGTTTCTATTTTTAGACATTTCCTGCCAGCAGCCATTGTGTAAGCAGACATTGACGACGCAGTAGTTTAAATAACAAATCACATTCTAGGGTTGAAACCCAGACACGCTGTGCCTGAGATTTTTTCCCAGTGGTTACTGCATTATCCAGAGTTCAAAGGAAAATCTCAGTCAGTCTGCACAAGAACTGGGTCTTCATCATCAATTTGTACCGAGTGTCCGTCCCTCAAGGTATCTGTCTAGAAAATTCTGTCTTTCTGACAAATATAGTTGGTGACCCCAACTTTATCCGTTTTCTTTTAGATTAGATTCTTGTTCTCTTTTTTCACTGTACGTAACAAACAAATCCATCCAATTCTTCTCATCATGGTTACCTAGTTAAGATGTCTGCACACACTTTTCATTTCCCGTGTTTCGCGCCTTCCCTGGTGTTCTCTTGCGCCCCCCAGGGGAAATGCACCTCATGCATTGAAAACAACTGACACACAACAGATGTGAAAACAGGTGGAGACAGAGAGTTACTGCAGTCACTTGTCACTTAATTCCTCTTAACAAAATCTGTGAAGTCAACTGAAGACCATACGGATCTACTAGACGTAGTGTCCTAGAAAGGTTTATGAGTGTGTGAGAGGACAGCTGAGATCTTGTTAGCCAACTAGGAACATCACTGATGTTGACTCCTTGGGGTCACGGTCACAGTAGATGTACACAGGCGGCAGATAAATGAACTGAGTACAGCTGACTCTGCTCAGGGAATCACTAAGGTGACAAAGTCACCACACTGACTGGCCTGACAGATTTAATTGGATCACGATCACAGTCGGTCTCCTTAGAGCATCCGCAAATAATGTGCACAGTCGGTTGCCACAAAAGTTGGTACACTTGCAATAAACCACTTTAGTGTGTGCTTGACTGACAGGTCTTCAGTCCATCTGTCTCCAATAAAAAGATTGGAACGTTGTGATGAAGGGCATAAGAGGATTGCAGCTATAAACACTTGGAGCAGCTGAAGTTATTTATGTTGAAAGAATGGACAACAGGATTACATGCAAAAATGCAACAACGAGTATCTTTAGATTAAAAAAAAATAAAAAATGTGATTAAATCAAAAGAATATGTGCCACATCCTTAGACTTAGTTCAACTGATTTAGATTATGTTGAAGAAAAAGAATAAAATCCATCTATAAACACATTTTTTTTATTCTTTAAATGTTCAACTACATTACTGATCAGGTGTTTAATTAACATTTTAGTCACAAAAATAATTTGTAGAAAGTCACAATGTGACAGAAATCACTCACATTCATTTGTAAAACAGTCTTCTTTTAAACCACTGCATTGCTTTAACTATCCAGATACTTTGGCCCAGAGCCATTGACAGTGTTTCCTCCTAACCTACTCCCATGGATTTAGTATCTTCTCCGGTGTTCTGACATAAAGCCAAGAGAAGTGAAATGAGCCAGGAACCGTTCAAATCACCAGCCTTAATAATGTCTGACTAATGCCAGAATCCCTGTAGCACTTGACACAGTGCCAGGAGACAACACTCAGTTTAGTCTGGTCTGGTCTGGTCCAAATAAACAGACAGAAGGATATAAAGACCTAATAAAAATATATTTATCGGACAAATATTTTTTCTTTCTCATTTAGGCAGTGATTTATTACCGGCAAATACATCACCGCTCACAACAATGCTGTTCTCTACCGATTTTCATCAGTAAATATGCATATGTCAGTTTTCCCACATGATAAAAGAGAAATGGTGAAATGCTGACACAATGGAAAATAGATGCTAAACAAGGATCCTGTATTTTGTCTCATGCTAAGGTTTGCATCATGTCTGATGATGCAAAAAAAAAAAAAAAAACACTTTTAAAACTTTCAGTTTTCAAAGGTCTCTGTAACCAGCCAAGTGTGTTCAGTCATTCTCTGCATTAAGAGATTGTGTTGTTTACTTTGTTGATGGCTAGCTAGTTAGCTGTCAGGACTTCACCCAAGTCCATTTAATAAATGTGTGTGTGAGTGTGTATGATGATAGTGTGCAGGAGTGGCAACTTTATCACAGAGAAGGGGGAGGTGATCTTTAAATAGAGCCCCAGATGGCTGTCAAAGTCACAGCAGCGACTTTAACATTGTATTCATTGAATATTTCCATAAAGCCCAAACATGGCATTCCACAATTGCAGACAACTTTAACTATCATGACAGTGTTTTTCTGCATGTTCGTGACACCTGGTTCTTCTCCAGCAGACCGCTGCAGGTGGAACCTCAGTCGGGCTGTTCAGTAGCTGCGCGGTTACACATGCTGGCTGTGGCTTACGCAACAGTCTAACTGATGACTTGTAATCTGATTTCCAAGCTGTTGTTAGGTGCAAATAGGTTAAGCCGCACTGACAATTATATGCTACCAACATGAAGCGGATCCATCCATCAGCACTCAGACAAGCAGCAGTATCTGAGCCACGGCCAGTACACAGTAGGATTCATACGCTGCTGCACGTGCATACACAAACCAATAAAAAGTCCACAACCACACTATCTATATTAAATCATTCCCTCATCCTTTCTCTGCTGCACCTCTCTCTTATCTAATCAATATATCCAACATCTGACAGTAAAGTCCACGAAAATACAAAAACAGATATGCATTAATGAAAAAAAAAAATTTTCTCAATAACTTTAACAGGTGTTCATTAAACATTTTATGTATTTTTTCTGAAATATGTTAAATATTTTGTGTATGTGTGTATATTAGCTCTGTTGCTCTCAGCAGTGGTGGGCTGGTAAACAAACGTGCAGTGACAGGTGGATTTCACTTTGCCTGTTGGTGGTTTTTAACCGCCTGTGTGTTCACTTCCCCTCCACAAGTTTATATAACATTTTGTGGTTCTGTTAAAATCATATTTGACATTTAAAACAAATGCAACCAAGCATAACAATATTACTGCAGCTCTAAAAAAAATGTTACCCTGAAACTTTGACCTGTGTCTTCTATTTCATGCCATTAACTTACAGACTATGGAATGTAAATAACAAAACTTAAACAAACACAAATGTTGTACTTTTGTAAATAAAAGTTGAAAAAAACATTTGTAGCAATTAGGTCTGAATTGATATTTATGACCAAGTACATTTACTTTATGTAATTATGCATTTAAAGAAAATTTACAAAAGAAAATGATTTACACAGAAAATAAAAGAAAAAAGACAGCTTTCAAAACATATAGCTATAAGTTTAGAAAGCTGGTTTGTTAAATTTATTTTCAGCAAAAAAAAAACAAAAAAACAAACAGTTGTCTTCTTTTAACACTGAGCCCAGCAGTAACAAGACTTAATGGAGGTTCTTTAAAATCATATATTTTAAAGAACTGCAGCCCAGAACCAGAGGAAACTCCTCCTCCCAAACTGGGGAAAATGCACTCATTTGTAATTTTATCACTTTTTAAAAAATTAGAATAGCAATTTTGCAGTAGTTCCTGTATTTAAAAAATTAACTGAAGTTTTGAAAAAATCTGTAAATGTGTCCACCTGGGGAAGATGGGGGGGGAGTTGTGAAAAGATGTATCTACAAAAGCGGCTGCTGTGGACCATTATTCACAAGAAAATGCACAAAAGCGGCTGCTGTGGACCATTATTACCATGGACCTAGAAGACATTGTGTCTGTGGACGTAGAGCTGTATTTGTTCCACCACAGCTATGAAGGATTGAAGCATTACAGGTACAGTCAGTCTGACAGGTATGAAGTTTAATTGCATTCAAGGCATACAATGTGTGTGACTCCCCAAACATATATGAACTGTTTTTCTAACAGTAACCTGTGGAAAGTAAATATTTATTTTCTGCTGTGCATGTAGTATGAGCAAATCAGCAGCAGAGAAGCTGAAAGGTTTACCAAAACTTTCAGATAATATTGTACTGAATCTTTTATCATTAACTAAAATTTAAAATAAGCAGAGATATCAAATTTTGACTTCTGGTATTTACCTGTATGTACCAGTAAATGTAAAAAACCCCACTAATATCTGGCTACAGCTAGTCACATCTGAGAAATTGCCATTTGTGTTCTGTGGAAACTAGGTGCATTTAAAATGTGCAGATAGGAAAAAAATGTTCTGGATTTTTTGTGTTCAACCACTTTGAATAGGTGCAGTACACCTAAACAGATGTACAATCCACTGGCGTGCTACACTGTCATGTTTCATTTTTAGTAAGAGTGGAACGAGACAGTGTCTAAACAAACTATCAAAACAACACACAACTGAGTCCTTTTCAAGGTTGTAGAAACAACAACATTACAGCATTCACTCGATAATCCAGCAGGACAGAGTCAGGGGAGTGAGCACCAACCAGCACAAGTCGTCATTTATAAAAGAGAGCGTGATTAAGATTATCCTTGACTAAAAGTCAACCGTATTACTCATGCCTTTCATACGTGATGCTTACTGAGGGTGGCTCACCTGAAGACATGACTCAGTCAGCTAAAATGTCACCACATTAAGTCACTTTCTGACATGGAGGAAACATAGGTTCAAGTTGGTAAATAGCCAGTGACGTCATGTTTATTTTGGTGACCACTAGGCCATTAGAAACTCAACGTTTACACTGAAAGGTTTTCTCAGCATCACGGTCGAACTGTGAGCAACTGTGGCCGATCTGAACAGTTCAGTAACAGGTTAGCAAACACTCGTGCGGGTCAGCCTGGTGACAGTTCAGTAACAACAGCAAACACTCGTGCGGGTCAGCCTGGTGTCAACAGACATGTTTCCAAAGTTCTAAGCTGATGGTTGAAATGATGCTGAAGGATTTATAACGCGTACAAAAACTCCAAGTCATCGGTATGTACTCACCTCTGTCTCGGCTCCGAGGACACGGAGTTACAGCTTTGAACTGATAGAAGGGTCGATGACTTGCGGTGTCCCAGCGGTGAAGGCAGCAGACTGATGTTAGACGGAGACGGTGAGAGCAGGTTGCTGTTGACCGGTATAGACAGGGAGCCTCTCCGACATCCCAGCAGAACCTCCTCGCTCCCCAAGTCGTCTATGCCGGGCTCGGACGGCAGGACGAGAATAGGCGGAATGTTGAGGATTCCGGTCCTCGACGATGTGGGGGAATTTACGTTTCCGCAATTGCCGGACGCCGCCAAACTAGATAACAGCCTGTCGTTGCTAGTATGACCACTAACCAGCTCCGGACACAAGCCGGCCGCTGCTGCCGCAGAGCAGCCGGCGTCCGCTGCCTCCAAGTCGGTCTCTTTTTGGCTGCGGCTTCCAGCGTTCTCCGCTGTGTTACTATGAACTGGCCGACCGTCCAGGGAGATGTTACTGAGAAACAAAAGAGCAGCTTGTCTTCGGCGAGAGTTCTCACGGTTTCTCCGGCTGTTTTCCCTGTTAGTGTGAGGCTTCTTGCTGGCCGGTGGCACCGCGGCGCTGTGCTGGCCACAGGCAGCAGCCGCCGCCATGGTCCCAGTGAGGAAGTCAAGTGAACAGTAGGCTCTAAGCCTGCAACTGTGAAATCTTTGTACCCGGCGCTAGACCACATTACGCTTTACTCTTCTCTCATTGGTTAGGATCACAATGCGTAATGACGTAGTATGAGCGAGGCGGAGGTAGACGCGACGTAACGTTGATACACTTATCAAAGGTGAAGGAATGTAAATAAGTAAATAAATACGTTTTATCTATAAAAACCGTAACGGCAAAATAGTGCCGTTCAGCATCTGTTACAACAAGTAGCCTTCTTTGTTTAAAGCAGTTTATAAATACCTGCATCTTCAAAGGTTAAAAAATAAAGATATTATTTTAACCAAAAATATGAGTAACGGCAAAGAAAAAACCGTTAAGGAACCCTTTTCTTTTTTCTTTTATAAAAAGGAGACCATTCTTTAACGGTTGTTTCAGGTAGAAGTGTAAAATTGTGTATTCATGTGTATTAATGCTTGATGCAAAGTTTCAAAATAAAAACGATTGTTTATTTTATAGGTTATTTATTACAGTCTCATCGTAGTTGAAAACTATTTGTTTTTTTATCAAATTAATCAAGTGTTAATTCAATTCAAGTATTTTTAAATTGTCATTCAAAATATACACCAAGTAGTGCACATCAGTAAAAAAAATAGATTACCCAAGGTCACCATTGGACTTACAGTATACAATAACATAATAAATTATATACACAAATAAAAGAAAGTGTATAGTATATAAAGAACCTGAGATAAACACACAAAAATCTCAGATTAAAAAAAACAAAACAAAATAAGATGGTGTCCATCCTATTTTAAGTCCAGCATTAACGTGTTTCTCCTTTAAGTGGGGCTGTTGAGCATAAACTGAGTTATTATTGCAGCTTCGTCTGGCAATGACTTTGATTGGCTGTTAGCAGCAGTTATGAAACCTCAGTGGATTGTCCTGTACTAACACCAACACTGAGCACAGTGAACCTGGTCGGCTCAGCAGGACAACTACATTGTGTATTATGACTGGTAACATGCTAAATATAGCCCGCTGCACATATACTTTAATCCTTTTAGGCTGACAGTTTGTTACTGCACACTAACCTCTCTTTGTCTGCAGAGCTACAACAGGGCAGAATGACCATCCATCTTGGTTTGCACTGTAGTGAATGTTGTTTTGTCACTATAGAGAGACAAGAGAAACAATGACCCTATTCATAAGAGTGTTATGTAAAAATATCCCTGCAGGTGTGCAACTGACAAACACTTTTGTTGACTGACAAATATTAATGTCTGTTTTGTATGCGACCATTCTCATTTGTTATGGAGCTCTACAGTAATCTGCAGAAAAATGTGGTTCAGTGCTGTGTTAAAATAGAAAGATACTGCAAGTCAATTTATTGTCCCTGTTAAATTACAAAATTATGTACTTGTGTCTGTAAAAAAATTTAAATACAATGGCTATTTTAAGTGGAAATATAATTTAAATACAATGGCTATTTTAAGTGTTTTTGCAGAAAAAAAAACTAAATAGACCGGAATGACTGGACTGACTGTGAATCAAAAGATCGTGATGCCACCTCTGCTACGTCATAGGCTTATGCACATGTGCATCAGCAGTCCAGTGATCAGGTGGTGGTAAATTATGACACATGGACGGATGACTTAAGAGATTACTTTGTGACAAAGCGCATATTTCAAAGCTGATCTACCTCAGGAGATACCGATGGGTTCAAGTGTGAAGTTCAACAATTAATTCAGAATTTATTTTGATTTTTCTTTGTTTTTATTCGCTATCAATTTCTCTAAGTGCAGGTCCTACTTCCATCTATCAAGTGACCTTGTCCCTTCAGGGTCATGGGGAGTGGGCAGACGCAGAAGTTAAAAAAAAGAGAAAAAAAAAGATGATGTATTTGAAAGCGCCGTAATGAAGTGAAGGGAAGTAATGTGACTCATATGAAGCCCCTGAGAGGTTTGACTTCCTGTGATGTTCAGTGAGGCTGGCAGAGGAAACAGCCTGCAGGCAGAGAAGCAGTGCACCATGGGAAAGGTCAGAATGCTGCATTCAGGGTCAGGGTCAGTACAGCACTGGGACACAAACATGGACACAGAAGACAATAGGGATCGATAATTCCCTGTCACTGTTGTCTTTATATTAGTATTTATATTAGTACTCGATTTTTGTAGTGATCGGATCATGATCCTTTTTAACTGCCCTCTGGTGGCAATTTGCTGTCACTACAATTCCTCTCAAAATGACTAAAAATGTTATATAATAATAACATTAACATAATAATATTATTATATTGTTATATATTATATATAATATTATTATTATCCACATATATATCCAACCAAAGTTCAATCTGTCAATATTGTACAGAGTATGTCTTTATCGTAACATACATTTACACCTTTTGTATAAGTATTATGGTAATTTTATCATTTTATCTGTGCAGTTACAACTGCAGTTAAATACATCATAGACTGCTGGGCTGACTACCTGTCTGTGCAGGATGGGCTTCAGTCTGCTTTAGATCCGAGGGCTCCACGTTCTTCTTATCCCCACATCACAGGTAGTAATCCTCCTCCTCGATGTCACCATGTGTGTCCTGAAATCCAAGGGCCTGAATGTCCTGTGTGATGTCTGTAATACGTCTGTTGAATTCCTGAGAACCCGAGGCCAAGGAGCAGTTGTCATACCTGTTGGAAAAACAACTGTTTCACATCAACTGCTTATTTAAATGTCTGACTTTCACATGAAATTCACTTTAGCTTCAAAAAAAGAAATTAAATTTGCTGTTCTACAAACCCTCTCATGGCTGTAGCTGATGTGTTGCTCATGCTACGTTTGATTCGTCCAAAGCTGTCAGTCAGTATCCCACCCTCACGGATCCCTATGCTCTCCAGGAAACCCTCAAACACACCGACGTCTTTGTCTGGGATGAATGGACGCATGCCTGAAGGAGACGGTGGAAGACAAATAAAAAGGTGACGTTAGGGTTAATAACTGTTGATTATTTTGGGATCACATGATATTTTAATCGACCAATGCATTCTACTCTGTACAGTTAAAAGAATACATTTTAAAGTATGTCGTCCATGTGGTTACGTCCATATTACAGTAACATGGTGGGCTTTAAATCTATGCTGCCGCCAGGCTGGAAAGATCTTAAATCTATGCTGTCGCCAGGCTGGAAAGATAAGACATATTAGTCAAAATATTGTTATATAAGATATATTAGTCAAAATATTGTTATACCTGTAGATGTTGACAGTCCCTAAGTGTGTGATATATGTGGTGCTGAGAAGCATAGTTTTTAAACTGGCAGAACATTCAGCACATACAGTCTAGTAGCGGTGAAGCCCAGGCTGTCATCAAAACGTGTCAACATGGTACAACTATGCTTGTGTATTACACCAGAGTACATGTAGATCAGTGTAAATGGAATTTTCTCCAGCTCTGACTCAACTTGTCGTTTGCCTGTTTGAATCCTCCATTACAACCAAGCCTCTAATATTGTTGATTATACCCTAACACATGTAGCATTAACAGGGTGTGTGGAGGAAAAACATCATACGTCAGAGTTCTTCTCTCACTCTGTCCCTCCCTCTAACACAAACAGGAAACGTTGGTTTCCTCAGTGGAAGTTGGTCAAGGTTTAATTGGTTTTGGTAAACACCCTGAAAATTAAAGTCCTGCTCGCGCACACACACACACACACACACACACACTTGTCAATACACATCTATATTTCCTGTATAACATTACCAATGATAAGGAGGCTGTGGTTTACCACACAGTTAGTCAGTTAATGACCAGGTTCTTCTTTCTCTCTCTCTCTCCCCCCATTTGTCTCCATGACTCTCACCCATGAGTAGGAACTTGCGGTTGTCTCCGTACAGTTGCAGCAGCTCAGAGCAGAAGTGATCGATGTTGGACCCGAGTCTGTATTCTCTCAGTAGCACAGCAAACTGCTGCAATTCTAGCGGGCTCAGCTTGTTCCGCAGCTGCACACACACACACACAGTATTTATCTTTCAAAATGTAACAAAATGTAACATTTTGTAAAAACAATGTGAGCGGACCTTGAATACACTACGTGGAGGCCTTTGTTAATTGTTATTAATTACTGCAGTTTAAATGATGGATGCTGGCTCTCCACTCAGGAAACATATGAGAATAAATGTCATTATAAATAACACAAACGACTAAATAGGACAGGGCAAAATGAATATACTTTGAATATATTGTGGTGCATTAAGTGTCACAATTTCACAACAGTTGAAGTGAATATGTAACAACAGGATTGTGTGAACGTTGATCACATGGTACGACAGAGTAACTCACTAAAAAGCAGGAATATATCCCTGCTTTTAATAGCTGGGATTGAGCTTGAAACATGTAGAATGATGAAGAAGAACAGACTCCTCTACCCTGATTCCTCCCCCCCCACACACACACACACACACACACACACACAGCCTCACTGTGATCATGTACTCCTGCATCAGCAGGAGAGCAGGGTTATTTTCTCCTGCGTCACTTGCTGAAGCCAGACTGCGATGCGAGTCCTGCAGCGACAGAGATGAGCTCTCGCTGTACGTCTCACTGTAGTACAGCTCAAAGGCATCCTGAGAGCCATCACTGTGGGGAAGAGAGTGGAGAAGGATTGGTAACCTCTGCTGTCACAACACTCACCTCAGAGTGAGAATCACTTCAATTAGACAATTTGAACAGGTCTGTAATTATACAGAGTATCTGTCATCTGTGCTTTTAATGTAAATTTGCTTCTGTGCCCAACAATAACACCCCCTACTGGCTGATGCAGAATCTAATTGATTTTATTCAGTGTGAAAGAACATCCAGGGTCATGACAGCAGTCAAGGCTGAGAGGTGAACGGCTGTTTTAGTCATTAAGATGTGACACCACTACAGAGCGATACTCACTAAGAGCTGCAGCAACTGAACTCTGGGTCGTAGCTGTAGGACATGTCAGTCAGGCAACTGTCACCTGCACAAGAGAGACAAACGGGATTAGACTCAGAGAATTCTTTTTTTGTTTGTTTTTTCAATTGATAACGGTTAACGTTGAAGACACAGATGTGAAGAACCACTAGAGCAGGCATGGGCAAACTAAGGCCCGGGGCCCAGATGTGGCCCTTTTGCCTTTGTAATCTGGCCCGCCAAACTTGTCCAAATTATGTTATAAATTTATATTATCATTATACGTTTGCCTTTTTTCCTGCAATCTCTGTAGTTCCCCAAAAGATGGCGTAGAAAATGCTTTTGTTAAAAATACTTGTTAAAATACTACAGAAAACTGCAGTTTGTATTTAGTAAAAATGATAACACAACTGCCTGCACTGTTAAGTAATAACAAAATATATTTGCAGGATTGACTCCTCACACTGGACCCAACATTAACAATACACTGTATCAGTCAGAAATCATTTGTCGCTCACTCCTCTGCAGCCAGTAGCGGTCAGGCATGGTGTGGTGGAAGCCGGCCCTGTCGACACACTCGATGGTCTGATGGCCGTAAATGATCTGGAACATTTGACAGATGAGAGAACAGTATTCCTCCGCAGCATCCTACACACAAGGACACACACACACACACACACACACAGAAGATCACTGAATTAATGAACACGTCAATCATTCATTTATCGATTCCTTTGTTATTTTATTCATCATCTTCTACTGATAAATTATTCTCAGGGTCATGGGGGTCATGAGAGTCAATCTCAGCAGTCACCAGGTGAGGGCAGGATACACCCTGGGCTGTTCACCAGCCCATCAAATGTATAAAGACAAGATGATCTTCTGGCTGTAAGGTAAGGAAAGTAATCTCTCTTCCACTGAGTGGCCTTATGTCAATAATAAATGAACCCTTCAAATAAGCTGTAATATAGATATAGATAATAGGCCTCCATCCAGCCATTCATTAACTAATGCTTAATCCTTTGCAGGGTGATGTGGGGTTTGAGGACTGGTGCCAATCCTAGCTATCAAGAGATGAGGGTGGGGTACACCCTGGACAGTTTGAGAGTCCACCACAGGCCCACATACAGAAACATCCATTCATTCATCACATTCAAACCTGTGGTCAAATTGTCCCCCAATGTGCATGTTTCAAGTCATATCCTTTTTAAAAATAAAAGTCCAGAAAAAAGAATGAGAAGTTTTCTGGTCGCCAAAAAAGCAAAAGTTCAAACTTCAAATCAGCAGTTGACAGCAGTAGCTCAGGTGACACACCTTGTTCTCCACAGCCAGGATGACCAGGTTACAGTAGGCGTCAGGGCAGGGCGTGGGCTCCAGCGGGTTGTGGTTCCTCCGCTCCCAGCTGCCGTAGCTCTTACCCCGTTCCCAGCTCCCTGTGCAGGCCTGCCGCCGTTCCCAGCTCCCTGCACCACCTCCTCCACTGCCACCTCCTCTTCTGTCCCAACTCCCTGCACTTCCACCTCCTCCTCCCCCTCCACCATGCCTCTTTTCCCAACTCCCACCTCCACCCACTCCCACACCCCAGCTCCCACTCATAGGTCTGGCTCTGCGATTTTCCCAACTCCCTCCAGTTTTGCGTGTTTGCTGCCTCCTCTCCCAGCTCCCTCCAACCCTCTTCCTTTCTAGGCTACCACCTCCTCCTCCTCCTCCTCCTCCTCCTCTTTCAACTCCTCCACATCCCCCTCCTCCTCCTCCTCTCTCTATGTTCTGGTTTTTGTCATGGTTACTCCTGGACAGTGACGGCCTCCAGTCAACACCACAGATGGTGTGTCGTCTTTCCATTGTGCCCCCTGCAGGTCGCGGGTCGGCGTTACTGCTCATTGTTTGACGTCTTCCGTCGATGCCCGTCGGTTTCTTTCTATCCAAACTATCGTCCCCAGCAACCACAGTATCCACGTTCAGACCTGAGGGGGTTTCAAGAGAGAAATAAATCTCATTTATATTCTAGTAATCTTGAATAATAAAAGTTCAGAGACATTTCTGCAGGTAAAGGTTGATTTAGTCTGATTCACTCCAAATCGCTAGCTATAGAAAACCTGCTATAAAAACGCTAACATCACCCTCGGTCCTGTGGTTTGACTTGACGACGTCACTGACATTACAACTGTGGTAAAAGTTTTTCTTCATACAAAGTTTTCATAAAATAGTCCATTCAGTACAGTACCTGTCTTCAAGACCAGAAGGTGCAGTGCATCATCCCGCAGGTAGGAGGCAGCAGCAATTTCATGTGTTGGAACCCTCATGAGTAATTTCTCATTGTCTCGCCATGTGAGAAGAAGACAGCGAGCAGAGAGACTCAGGATACAGTCCTGATCCACGCTGGTCTTTAATGGCAGCACCCTCAGCTGCTACTGACAGAAAAGATGGACTGATGTCAAAGTTGACTGCAGTACAAAGGTCATAATGAATTATTATAACAGCACCCCGTTAAATTATTTAATTACAAACTCAGGTAAAAAAAAGTTAACAATTTATTACATTTATTGATTATTAAATAGCTGATAAATAACCCAAGTGTTGAGCCAAGGTCACTTGGTCGTAGGTCACTAACCCTGGCTGTGTCCAGCAGTTGTAAGAGCTCATCTCGACTGGAGGGATTCAATGTGACCGACACCCAGGTCAGATGTCCCAGGAACTAAGGAGAAAAGCAGTAAGAAATCTCAGGTGTGTGGATTTTAGTGTAGTAATATTTTGTTAATATTATATTCTACCTTCACTTCCTTCTCCACGTAGTCGAAGATTAGCCTCTCAGGGTGGATGATGTAGTCAGGAGGATACAGAGGGACAGTGTGCAATCGGCGGCGTGAGACGCTGCTTCGATCTACTGACCGTCGACTAGACTTGGACCAGACTAGACGTTTAATAGGAGAAACAAAACCCTACGAAGACAAGAGAGGAGGATGAGGAGGAGTATTTTTAAAAAAATACCTCTTATTTGTAGGGATGAACAAAATATTTAAAATACTGGAGGCAGCGTTATACATTTACAACAGCTCTGTGGGAAAGAGGCTGATGTGCAGTGTGTGGATATATAAATGTGGAATATGCTAACAGATGATAAGTACAGTTTGATTTTCTTCTCGTTAATAGATGGTTATTTCAGTCCATAAAGGAAAGATAGTTCTGTACTGAACAGAGAGACTTTACACTTACACTATAATCACACAAGTCAATTATAGAGAGATAAGATTAGATATAGATAGATCTTTATGAATCCCACGGTAGTTCCCTACGTGAAATTTAAGCTCCGCCAGCAGTACAGCACCAAAACAACAGTAAATACACATGAATAGGTAAATGTAACTTTCTGTATAGTGGAAACAACCTGATGAACAGAAAGTTAGCAGCACTGCAGCGCTTTTCCATTCAAAACAATGGCTGCCGTTTTCTAGTAAACAAAATGTCACCTAATTTAACAGCACTATCCCTTACGTTTCAATAAACAAATGAAACAACACGATGTTGGTGTAATAAGTGTCAACATAAAGTAATGTGGTGCGGCGTAAAGGCCTCGTCTATAAACCGCGCCATTAAGACCTGCGGGTGTTCAGTGCTAAAGTACTTCTTCGGGTGTTTTATTAAATCACTTGTATCGTAACAGAACAAATCCTACAGCAAGTCTTCGTCCCTAATGTTAAAATACTTCCAAACCGCTGACGTTATTCACCTTTTTAAACAAACTCGAAACTGTCTCGGAGGAGGAAGCGGCACAACACTGGCTGACCGCTGCTCGGCTCAGGTTGTGGCGAAAAGCCGTTACGGAGTATCGGATCACTGGATCGGCACACGCCATCGAGGGCACGATACGATGTATTGAGATCGGTGCATGCCTAATACTAACCACTTTTTCCAACGTGTTTCCCCATGGATAAAAAAAAGGTCTCATCATTTTTGTGTCTGCATGACCTTTTTGTGCTTGCACCAATATTAATTAATGTCAATATTAGGAATATGTAAATCAGGCTGATTAGACGAGCACTGTCGGCTGTGTAATTACTGCTGCACTCTCCAACCACTGCTGTCTGTAAGGGATTTGAATGTTAAGTAGAATTTCTGGGCCTCAGCACATCTGTGTCTGCACGTCTCAGGGTAGAGAACATCCCTTTGGCTTCTCACCGTGTGATTGACAGGTGAGCAGTGATCTCTGACAGTTCCCCAGTGAGACTGACAGACAACGGCTCACACACTTAGATCCCCATCGACATACACTCAAACACACATTAACATACACTAGCTCAAGGCTAGCACGGTGACCTATAAACTTGATCAGAACTGCATCATGGGTTTATGAGGACGTCACAACACACAGCGACGTCTTTGACATCAGGACATTAAAGTAACACTAAGACACTTACCCACATGTGTCCAAATTACTTGGAAGAACTATTTATGGAAAGAAAGAAATGCGGTACCTTCTTGGATTTCTTCGGTTCATAGTCCATCATCGCCCGCTGTCCACCACAGACCTGATGCAGTTATGGAGGCTGGAAATATTTTAATTTCTCAATTAGTATCTTTAAATCATCCTTCAGTGGATTTGTCCATGATTCCACTCCTGTCTTCTCTCGTTGGCTTCAACTTATTCAAGCTTCAGCTGTGGCTTCGTTATTCTTGTTCCCTTTTCTTTCTACACTGATTGTTCTTTTTAGATCTCTGGTAGGTCCATACACACACACACACACAAATGACAGGAAAGAAAGGAAGCACACTTCCTGTCCAAGAGGAAACTCCACCAGAGACTGATAAGGTCCAGTCTGCTTGGCCATACATTGATTTACCTTATATTGAAACATTTAACTGTTGACATTGAATATGATACTTTTTTTAAATGGTTGAATTAAATATTAAACCATTAGTCATAATTATTAATATATTATCATTTTTAAACTTGTTATTTTTTAAAAGATCACTCTTATTTTTAAAATATTATATTTTATTTTGCTGGACAAGGTCTTCTGTCCAAACATTTATTGATGACCACTATTAAGGTGTGTACTGTTGTTATGGGCACCATGATTTTCAGTAGTGATTTGTGATTTGAGTGCACAGTTAACATAACAAAGCCAACAATATTACAGGTGGAGAACGCCCTACATCTAAACCGAGTTTGCAGCTGCTGAAAATATGGTGAGTATGTTTTGTGCCTTTTCAATTTTAGGTTTATTAAAATGTAGGTCACACACAGCAGGGTAGTCTGTCTGAATGTTCTAAAAACCTGCCCTGCTCAAGAGTCTTATCTAAGGTTGCAGTAAGCAGACTGGGCCACTGTGGGGCAGGCTAGTGATTAAGGATTTTTTTAATAGAGGTGGGAAAAGGGAAGGGCTGAAAAAAAAAGGTGCAGTGGGAACAATGGGACCAAAACTTTACCTTTTATGGGACACTGTCATGTGGGGCTATTTGTTGAAATAAGACGGAGAAATGGACGGACGGATGGACATATGGACAGACAGACACAGAGACAGACAGACAGACACAGAGACAGACAGACAGATAGATAGATAGATAGATAGAACTTACAGTACTTAAAGTACACTGGTCTCTGCCCACTGCTATTTTAAACTGGGTCCATCACTTTAACCAACTTAGTCTCCACCCTGAGGTGTCGTCCAAAAATTAACAGGACTGTGATAAATGAGGCTGGGTGTCATTAGGAGCAGCCTCAGTCCACAGGGACACATGGTTAAAGACACGGTTCATACAAGATAAGTCCTAGTGAGGTATAGAACCGCACACACGTACACACACGCACACAGACACACCTAATGTCAGGGTAACAATTCTTCAGTGAACGAAGGAATAACGACTTAAGGACGGTCCAATTACCTTGGCAACTGGAGACAAAGACAGAACATTTGTCTTCTGAGTGTTCCTGATTTCTCACCCTCTCTAACTCTCTCCGTCTTCCTCTCTCCCTCCTTTGCTCCTGCTTTGCCTCTCTCTAACTCTCTAACGTTAACCCTCCGAAAATGTAAAAAAAAATAATATATATATATAATAAGGCAATCTCCAGTGAACAAATTTGCACATTGAGCATATTTTCAGACGTTCAGAAAACCACTTTCTGAAAGACAGCGTAGTAAGAGTGTCTGTCCTGCATCAGCAGAGTGGGAGTTTCAAATTTGACCTCAGGTCTACTTTCTCTGCCTCCTTCAGAATCAATATCACGGAGCCTTAGCTGCTGAGATGAACTGTTTCATTTCTGTCCATGCAGTGTTACTCTGTATGTAAAGGAAACGTAGCTGCAGTGGAGCGTGTCGGGATTCCTGCTCTCCTTTAAGGCCACCTGACAGACGCTAACAATCGTCTGTTGACTGTGAGTTTAGCTGCCTGTAGGTCAAAGTATCGTGTCCACTCGTGTCCACAGCTTGATGGAAACACACTACTAGAAGTCTGCAGTTGGATTGTTCTGGACTCTTTCAGGGTCATTGCACGGTGTCTTCTCGGAGCTGCACGAATACAATGCAGAATAACGACAAAAGATACTGGATGTGCAGATTCTGCATTTTCTTTCTCACAAAAGGAAATGTTTCTTTGTCTCTCATACACACACACACACTCACATACACCTATGAACACATACACACCTCAGATAGACATAAAGCACTCCCCAAACACTATCCTTACCATAACTTTTAATTTTAACCCTTAGCCTTGGTCTATAGATCTACCAGGAATACACACACACATGCACACACACACACACATATATACACAGATTTAGTGGGGAGGGGTGTCCACTCTGTATTCTCAAACAATGTGTGTACTCGGGTGTGTGTGTGATATCTAAGAAACAGCATCACTAAAAACCCTGAGCTTCAAACATCACAGTAGGATGAGGAAAAAGAAAAAAAAAGATGAAGAAAAAGGTGGAAGCCTGAGGTAGAGGGTGAGACCAGAAGACATGGAGGTAAAATACACTGGAAAAAGTTGGCAACATGTGAAAATGAATGATAAAAATGGACAAAAAAAATGTTAAACTGTTGGTAATATACATTAATGAATAGAGGAAGATAAAACAAAAGGATCTTAAAAAGGAGTACAGATGTAAAGTAACATGCAGAAAAAAACATTTGGCTCCAAAAGGACAGGTGAAAGTGAAGGAGGTTTGAGAGGGAGAAAGAGGAGAGGGAGGAGAGGAGGTCATGTTTGGTAGCTGAGTCTCTGGAGACGAGCAAATGAATCGCAAATGCCAACCAAATAAACAACAAATCCTCAGGATGGAGGAACGGTGATGCAGGAGAGAGGCTAAGATCAATGGGGAACACGGCTGATGTTTTGTCACCTTTTCAAGATAAAAATGGATTCAGAGGAAAACCGTCGTCGTCATTTTAAGTTTTAAGGCGGAAAGATTCTCTGTCAAATCCTAATTAACGCAGCAGAACCAACCTTGGGTTCCAGGCCCTGGGGCTGCACACTCTAATTTATTAGGAGAGATCTACTCAGGGATTTAACAAGTCTAGAGGTTGTTGGTTTCTTTTCAGGGCCATTCCCGACTGTTTCATACGTTACATTCCACAGTCAAACGGTGACAGAAACACGGAGGCTGAAGCTCAACTGCTCAGCCACAGAAAAGCTGTCAGTCTTTCAGCGTCGCTATTTTTAAACACCTCTCCGCCAACAGTCCCTTATATTGTTTCTACTCTGGTTAAGACATTTTGAGAACAGCATCAGTCTGCATCACAGTCCGATTTAAAAAAAAAAAAACGTTTTAGTCTTTTCTTGGCCGACCATGACATATTGTAGATATTTTAATGATTTAACTTACTACTTTAAAAAACAGAATCAAAAAGAAAAAAAGAAAATGTACTTTTACAAAGTTTTTGCCCAGGAAAACCTAAAAGTTTTTTTGGTTTTTCATCATTCAAATAAAAACAATTTTGTCATTTAAAGGTCATCACCTTTTGTGATTTAAAAAAAAAATCCTTTCATTACAAAAAAAAAACAAACAACACAGACAGACACAGACACAGACAGAAAGACAGACACACTGAGGGAGTTTATTTTGACGGCTGTTCAATCATATTTACTACAGTATTGTTCCCATCTACAGTTTTCAGCACAACTTGTTGTTCTTTTTTTTTTTTAAACATCATAGATAGTTTCACCACTGATTTGTTTTTTTATCTGCTCTTCACTCAAAGGATGTTTAAGCAGCATTTAAAAACAAAAACAATAAAACAACAAAAAAACAAACTCGGAGCAGATCCTTACATACTGTTTATACAATACATACAAACCGAAGCACACATACTCATACACGCACATTCTAGTATAGCTCGACTCTGGTATTTACAGATATATTGAATGAGTAAAAAAAAGAATCTTTTTTGTTTTTGTTTTTTTTTCTTCAGTTTTTACATCTTAATACAAGAGTCATACGAAAGACATGGCCACTGAGTGAGTAAACAAGAGATAAATAGATATAAAACAAATACAAAAATAAATAAACATAAATACTTGCATCAATTAATAAAAGATGGTTGGAGTTTTCAACTCACGTTTGACTTTTAACATGTTTTTTGTTCAAGTTAATATATAACCAGCGCACCACTACAGTGTTCACTGTTTCCTCTCCTCGTCTCACGTCGTCTGTACATCGGCCGTCAGGACTGTTGTCTAACAATATCAGCACCATAACATCACTGTGACTGTCACCAGTGCACCAACATCCACAAGTCCAGGTAGGACACCACACGGTGCGCAGAATAAAATTGTAGTTTAACCAATATATATTTATCTTTTTTTATACGTTTGTTTTATTTTTTAATTCTTTTTGAATTTGAATCAGTTCCTGAATGAAACCCTGGTTAGAGGATACACAACATACACAACCACAAACCTTGTTTGCGTGAGAGCACTTATATGTAACGATGCCTACGAAGGCCGCTCGGGCGTATCCTGCTATCCCTCACAGTACAGCACACCCAGTGGTCACATTGTAATTACAGGCAGTGAATTAGGATCAGCAGCAGAATTCTCTCTTGGATCATG